CTATAAGATATAGATACGTTCCAATTTATTAGGAATCCGATTTCTTACAAGTCGTTCCAATCACAGCCCGACACGTGTCAAGTTTACGGACTACGGCTGATTGAAAGGTTTTCTTCCATAAAATTAATCGATTCTACACTAATCCGACTCAACATTTCCAAAATACGTATATTTTTTCGTAGTTTTATAGGAATCGTAATTATAGGGACCGTAATTATAGGGGGGTCGACTGTATTATTTAAAAATATCAAAAGCGCTCAGCAAGTAAATAAAGAGAAACAAAACACTTTTTTTGCCGAGAAATAAACATAATTTTAAACAACAAACGTTTTCAGCCTAATTAATAGGCGATCTTCAGGTTGAAAACTAAAATGGAACGTAAATGTTCCATGAATAGAACATAAAAATTTAATAAAAATAACATAAATCTTGAATGTATTAGTTATGGTCGGAGTTTGTAGTAAATTTTTTAACCAAATATTTCCATGCAGAAGGTAGGCTCTCGGAATCCCTCGCATTTAAACAGCTTCTCTTATCTTACTTCTGATTATATAATTTACTTCAATTAATTATGAATGAAATGCAATAAATTCACAAACATCTTAATTTAAATACAATTTCTAATTACAAAAAAGTAATTATAATTATTCTTGAAATAGATTTTACGTTATACTTTAATTATAATTTTTGTCTTTGAGTTAACTCTTAGCGAAATCACTTATATTTCAATACGTTGTTTACTTCAGAATGATGAATATAATATCATCGAAACACATGCGTGCACGATTATATAATTATTTCCGATTACACCTTTAATAAATTCTACCTACCCCAAAAATAGCGCCTTCCATATCTCTGATAACGTCTTCTTCCGATATTAAACCTTGCATCCAACAATGCATCTAAGTAGTATGCATTTGACACAAACTGGGTTATAAAAATTAATTAGTATATAACTCAATTTAAAAAAAAAAATTTTTTTGAATTAATAAAAATTTTTTGAATTATATCGATACAGTAAAGATTATATTTAATTTGTATAAGAATTACCGATGTCAGACATGATGAGTTAAGTTCTTAGTCGATGAGTGAAGTTCTCGGTAGAAAAGTTGGTTGATGAGTGAAGTTCTCAGTAGAAAGGTTGGTCGATGACTGAAGTTCTGGAAAAAATTCACCCGCTTTTATCCTCAGCTACTTCTTTGTCCTGTCTTCGAAGAGTTATTATCTAGGTCGTGGGAATGCAGCTGGTCTTTTAACTGGGGACAGCTGTGTTTTTTTGTCTTCTAACTACGGTGCATAGGCTGA